CGCAACCCCTGCAGAAGACGCGATTACATACATGCAAAAGACGTTTTTTGTACTAAAAGCAATTTATCCTTTACTCACACGCTTCGGAATAATTATTCGTATTGCGGTATGGCTGATACATCACTAACAGCAGTGCTGGAGCTCTAGCCCTAGCGGGGTATCCGGGAAGCCAAGACCAGCACCGCTATCAAAAACACATATGCACAAAAAAGATGGCAAAAAGTCTGCTGCTTACCGTGGTAATAAACTGTTTGAGATTGTTGTTTCATTAATTGAAGAACAGTCATCGCAGTTACAGATAGTGTCGAAGTATTCCGGAGTGTAAACGCAGTTATCATAGGAACCATCTCGAAACTTAAAAACATAGTTCAGTAAGAAAGGAAATATGTGCTAAATTTGCCATGTATTGGAACTTATGAAGATGTCAGTTGTTTTTCAAATGGAAACTTACTGCTTTTCTTTTGTCGTACAAATAGTGACTTGAATTTGAGTTTGAAAAGCGATTCTCCATTGAAATGGGCGATGGAAATGCCTCGAAAACTATTGTACGCTGCGGCGGTTCATGCGACTTTGCTGTCACTGAGTCTGCATTTGGAGCCATGAAGCTGCAGAAAATGCAAGAATTCAGGCCGGAGAGAAGCAGCTAGCCAAACGGCATGCAGTTACAAAAACAAAATCTACCCTAGGACGAGAAGATTGACGGAGGCTGAGAAGAAAGCCAGGCCACCAACAATGAAAAGCAATGTAAACGCGAAATAGGCCGGATGATTTCGCAGCACACCATCTGCTTGCAGCGGCACATAATCACCGAATCCAATCGTTGATACTGAAAAGGTTGCTTGCCCTCAGCTTCTTACAGGTTGAATTTTGCTGCCATGCTGTTATAACGAGCCTTGCTCGGCTACAATTAGTGGTACTCACTCCAACTTAAAGTCAGAATAAGCAACCCATTGACTCGTTTTCAGATTTGTCAGACAAAGCCTACATACTAGCTTACACGTAACCAATTTAGCGACGCACCGTGCTTGCCGGTACGCGAGTCTTGAAGCAAAGAGATTGCTGTTAGCTTGAATGAATAGTTATTGCTTTATAGCTTTAACATAACAATGTTTTTTTCTTTTAATATATGTAGTGAGAGAGGGCTGTCGGTTGGGGCTGTACTGTTGCATTACGAGGCCATGAAAAATCCTATTCCAAGAATCTTGATCATCGAAAATTTTGCATAAAAAACAGGATCCGAATAATTTTTGGTAAACACTGAAAATACAGATTTTACAACGGAAGAATGTCGAGAGAAAGTTTCCCACCAAAGCTTCAACGTTTCCGTAAGTAACAACAGAGGCATATTTAGGAGTCGAAATTGAAGTCTTTGGATCGCACATAGGCAGAGAACATCCTCCAAGAATTTGGGCTCTTAGCTTTTCTGGTTCCCATGTAATTCACGCCAAATCTTTCACGTGTTCATAGGTGAAAATCAAGCCTACTTGGAAACTGAATTTGAGTTCACGCGTGGACAGAGAATTTCTTTCCAAAATTCCAGCTTCCTGGTTCATGAGCTACCAATTTTCCTACTAATGCGTTTACCCGTTCCTACTTGAGAATAAGACATGGGTGAAGATTGATATCACGTCTCTAGCATCGCCCTTGGCTCATTGGCAAAATTTCAGCACCTAAGTGTGTCTGATTGCTGGGTAATGCTTAGAAATTTTTCTGGGTAATGCTTAGAAATTTTTGGCACTCTAGCTGCTTTGGTTGAGAAACCACGCTAAACTTAACATGTTTTACATGAGTCATGTAGGGGATGTAAAAGTCGCCTTATTTTAGTGATTATATAAAATAATAATAAATGCTTATCGCATAACCAAACATTACACCAAGTACCAAATGGTTT